TAAACGATCTTTTTTCAAGATATTTTTTTAAAAATAAATAATCGACTGCTTAAAAATGAAATTATACAACGACGTATTCAATATATATGTTATTTTATATGCTCCCGAGTTATATTTCCATACTAAATTGCCGTTGGAATTCTCGGAAAGATTTCAATAGCGAATTTTATCAATAAAAAAATCATAAAAAAAAAATCCTGACAGTTTTACCATGACATATATTATCCAAGTCTCTTTATAAGTGTTTAGAATTGCATGTTTCCATGACAATGTCAATACTCATTACGGAGTAAACATGCGAGTGCGATAAAAACCGATACCAATAATTAATTTTACGTAGTTTTTTCAAGTGTGAAATCTTCATGTCCTTTGCAGTTGTATTACCGTTTTTAACACACGATGACCAATCCGCTACCATCTGGTTCAACTTAAAAAAAATCTGCCTTTTGTTCACTAACATGTACCCGAAAGTCAACCCTTAAATAAAGGGGTGTGTAAACAAATTGAAAAGTATGTACCACGTGACCGAATTTAACTGCTACAGTTCAAATTTTTAAAAGCTATACAACGGCTGTCAAGAGATACGCATCCGTTGACATAGGTATTCAACTTTCACATTTAAAACACATTTACTAAATTCTTTAAACTTAAAATATTAACACAGTAATAAATGGTATACTGAAACCAATTAATATGTTAACAATACACTAGGCACATGTGTAAATAATAACACTGTACCAAGACATCTGTTGAAAGCACAATTGACATGCAGACTATCTGCTGTTAGGCTTGCACTTACACTTTTTGTAGAAAAGCATGTGCACACGCGTGCATAGTTTCCAACTTAGCAACAAAAATGGCACGTATTCATGTCTGAGTCATCGATATTTTAAAGTGAACAAGATTCTCTAATGACATGATTGATGGTTTTTAGGTCAAAATCAAATTGCCTCAGACATGTGTACACCGGTTATCGATTCACTTGCTACCTGACAAAATAATGGGATTGGTCATCAACCGTTTAGCCGCCAAATGGCAGACGACATACGATCTACTCACTGATAATTCACTCTAGCGCGTCACAGTGAAAAGAAATACAAGGACATGTACGTTATACTCACTTTGGCTCCTATTTGGTTGCCGCACTGGCCAGCTTGCATGTGTACGATTTCCCTCATTTTGGTTTAGTGTGTATGTGCTTTCGTTCTCTCCAACTCCCGTGAAAAGTCGACGTCTGTTTGATAAATGAGAAGCATGCGGTATTTAAACCCAGTAAGAGCACAATTTTATCCATCCGCCGTGACGAACCGCTCTCATTGGTTGTTAAGCGCAGGAGGGATTATTTTCTACCTCAATATTGTTAAAACAAACCATTCAGGATGCGATTAAAACTAACAAAATCTCAAGTATTACATTCATATACTTTACAAAAATGACGATACATTTTTTTTATAACATATTTTCAGCCCATCATAAAGAAGAGAAAGTGTTTAATAGATAATCATCCGCTGTTGCTAGGTTGTGATCAACAAACAATAACTTTCAGGTCCGTGGTAACCGACAATCGATAGTATGACTATGTTTATGACTGTTCACGTACACGTGTCAAACAAATAATTATATAAAGGATAATTGCTACTTCAGCTGATGGCAATAGCAATTGATATGGAATGTCCATTTATTTTTATCTTTACTTTCAAATGTACATCAAACGTGCGATCACCTACATGAGGAAATTTCTGGAAATGATGGGGTTGGCCTTGGTTGGTGTTTGTCCAAGTTTACTGGATGGGTTTCAAAAGGGATAGAGGGAGGTGCCTGATCGAATCAATGTTGAATCAGCAATTTTGATCATATTACATTGGAGCCACTCGCTGTGATACAAATGTTCTCCCTGTATATATATGTGTGTGTGTGTGTTTCTTTATGTTCTATGTATGTGATGTAATCTATGTAATATTTTTTGTCTTGATAAAGGGACAGGTTGCCTCGAAAATTTGATGATTCGCTTGTCCGTACTGTCGTTATTATTATTTCATTGATCATATATATACAATACATATATCTGTACAGTAATCAACACACCGCTTTAACAACAACAACAACAACAACAACAACAACAACAACAACAACAACAACAACAACAACAAAAAAAAAAAACCAAAGAAACAAACACGGACACAAATCATTCATTTAACAATAACATGTTTAAAATTTTGGCTATTTTTATAATTCTTTTATTTACAGAACACATATCCCCTACTCTGGAACTCTTAGAATATTTGCCTCCAAATCCCCTTTTCAATCCAATACTCGAGAGGATGTCATTCTATAGATAAATCACGTACTCCAGAGTTCCTCATACAAGACATGACATCTAACCCAAGGTCCCTCATTCCTAATATAACATCCCCAACCCCTACCCCGGGTCCCTCATTCTTAAGATAACATCTCTACTAAATAGTCTATATATCTATCGTGCTATAAATGAAATCCCCTACCCCGGGTCCCTCATTCTTAAGATAACATCCCTACTCGTTAGTCTATATATCTATCGTGCTATAAGCGAAATTCCCTCCCCCGGGGTCCCTCATTCTTCAGATAACATCCGTACTTTTAGTCTATATATCTATCGTGCTATAGATGAAATCCCCTACCTCGGATTCCTTCATTCAATAGACGATCTACTTATTCTGTATTCTGTCATTTTTATTTCTCCGAACAAAAGTAGAAAGATTGCATGGTCTCCATTTACAACACAATAGCAATACACAGGGCCACTGTTTAAGAGGCCTTAGTTTCTAGGTACGTACTGAATTAGAATGGTTCCCACCAATCCCACAGTACAACACACAATAGCTCTCCTGTATAAATATTGAACGTTCTATTTCATGTTAGTTCGTGTACAGAATTATAATAATGTACCCCTATATAATGTAAATTTACGTCACTGTCAGATCTATTCAACACAACTTTACGTTCGGTCGAAACAGAATAACATTTGTTAATCAATTAACCCTATACTTACCAAAGGGAATATCGATCAGTGTCGACCGTGAAAAGAAAATTGATTTTCAATGAATGTTTACGACCAGAAGTATGGATTCCATGGGGAGACGAAATGTCTTACCACCCAGAACCCTTTATAGGTATATAACTGGAAGGGGGGGGGGGCAGAACCCATTATAGGTATATAACTGGAAGAGGGGGTGGGGGGCAGAACCCATTATAGGTATATAACTGGAAGAGGGGGTGGGGGGCAGAACCCGTTATAGGTATATAACTGGAAAGGGGGGTGGGTGGGGGGCAGAACCCGTTATAGGTATATAACTGGAAGGGGGGGGCAGAACCCATTATAGGTATATAACTGGAAGGGGGGGGGGGGCAGAACCCACTATAGGTATATAACTGGAAGGGGGGGCAGAACCCATTATAGGTATATAAGTGGAAGGGGGGGGCAGAACCCATTATAGGTATATAACTGGAAGGGGGGGGGGCAGAACCCATTATAGGTATATAACTGGAAGAGGGGGTGGGGGGGCAGAACCCGTTATAGGTATATAACTGGAAAGGGGGATGGGGGGTTGGGGTTGGGGGCAGAACCCGTTATAGGTATATAACTGGAAAGGGGGATGGGGGGGTTGGGGGGTTATAGGTATATAACTGGAAGGGGGGCAGAACCCATTATAGGTATATAACTGGAAGGGGGGTGGGGGAGCAGAACCCGTTATAGGTATATAACTGGAAGCGGGGGTGGGGGGCAGAACCCGTTATAGGTATATAACTGGAAGGGGGGGCAGAACCCATTATAGGTATATAACTGGAAGGGGGGGGGCAGAACCCATTATAGGTATATAACTGGAAGGGGGGGCAGAACCCATTATAGGTATATAACTGGAAGAGGGGGTGGGGCGCCCAGAACCCATTATAGGTATATAATTGGAAGGGGGAGGGGGCAGAACCCATTATAGGTATATAATTGGAAGAGGGGGTGGGGCGCCCAGAACCCGCTATAGGTATATAACTGGAAGAGGGGGTGGGGGATCTTTGAGGTCGGAGTGAAGGTAAGGATAGACGTTTGGGGCAGAGAGTCGGGGTGGGGGTAGGGATTGGGATAGAGGGTCGTGATTGGCTGAGGGTAAGGGTATGAGAGTGGAGACGTTTCTGTCTACACGCGGCAGACAAAAACACTTTTATCTACTATTAGTGTCTAACGGAACATTAATATCGATTACAATTGAAGACACTGAGCTGTGATAGTCTCAGAGTAGAGAGACATGCAGTCCTTCAGTACATTTGTATAAACTTCTAATGTGACTCCAGACCAACACAATAGTTCTAACAAACAGTTTCACCGATATCGATTGTTCCTAATACAGGCTTATAGAAAGCTGTTTTAATCCGACTTTATTTGGATTAGAAATTATGAGTCCAACCAGAAAATAAACCAAAGAGGTACGTCCGAAATAAACCCCTTATCTAAATCTACTTATGAAGTTTTACACCACATACAATAGTTGCTGTACGTGTGGTAGTGTATAATATATATGTAAGAGGATTAATATGTTTTACGATATTCACCTTCACCTTTGTGCTATCATTAATGCGATATTCAATTACGTCTAATGTATTTTAAATTATTTCAACATTTGACCTGATGAATCATGTTTTTACCTCTTTTTTTTATCGTTATCTACTGTAGAATACTTCCCCAACTAATTAATTAGAAAGCACAGCTACCCCAGAAGGGAGTGTGTAAGGTTGACAGACACCTCGTGATATACTTATCCTATGACGTTGTTCGATATCATGTTTATTACAAAATAAACATCAAGCATTAACGAAAATTTCGGGACATAAATTATTTATTGTGTCACTATAGTGTTTTTCACACAGACACACACAGACACACACACACTCTCACAGACACACGCAACCCCCCCCTCCAACACCCCCCCCCCCCCCCACCCCCCCACCCACACCCCCACCCCCACCCACACCTACCGGGAGTGTGAGGTTGACGGTGAAGAATGTCCAGCTAGAGTGTGAGGCTGATGATTAGAAATGTCAGGCGGGAGTATGAGGTTGACGATGGGGAATGTCCAGCTGGAGTGTGAGGTCCGGCGGGAGTGTGAGGTTGACGATGAGGAATGTCTGGCGGGAGTGTGAGGTCCGGCGGAAGTGTGAGGTTGACGATGTGGAATGTCTGGCGGGAGTGTGAGGTTGACGATGAGGAATGTCTGGCGGGAGTGTGAGGTTGACGATGAGGAATGTCTGGCGGGAGTGTGAGGTTGACGATGAGGAATGTCTGGCGGTAGTGTGAGGTCCGGCGGGAGTGTGAGGTTGACGATGAGGAATGTCTGGCGGGAGTGTGAGGTTGACGATGAGGAATGTCTGGCGGGAGTGTGAGGTTGACGATGAGGAAAGTCTGGCGGTAGTGTGAGGTCCGCCGGGAGTGTGAGGTTGACGGTGAGGAATGTCTGGCGGGAGTGTGAGGTCCGGCGGGAGTGTGAGGTTGACGGTGAGGAATGTACAGCTGGAGTGTGAGGCTGATGATCAGAAATGTCCGGCGGGAGTGTGAGGTTGACGATCAGAAATGTCCCGCCCGACATTTTTGATCGTCAACATCACACTCCCGCCGGGTAGAAGTTTTTTTTAAAAACAAAACCATTAGAATATTGGTGTGTGAAGTTTCGATGACTACATGGCCACCGTCATAAGGCAGATGACCAGTATGAAGTGTACTGGCACTAGTGTTCGGGACGGTAAGGAAATTGACAAGCTTTTTTGACTGTACTAAATCCTGTGTACACTAAGGTCGAAAATAGTGTGACGAGATGGTAAACAAATTAAAGACCAAAATTACCAAAGATACTCCCACCGGCTATAGGATAGACTGAAATCAATATATGTTCACATTTTTATATCTACATATGATCTTTTCTCACGAATTTCCATTTCATACATGTGGTATATGAGTCTAAGATTGCTAACGAGTCCTTGGCTAAAGTTTAAAATGAAGTTTTATAAATCAAATATGAAATTTAAAAAAAATCTGATCCTTCTTATAACGTTGTCAAACAGTTTAGTAAATAAACATACCTACTTAATGTCTCACTTGTAGTTCTACTGGCCACATTGGTCTTTATTGTGACGTCACAATGTAATCTGTAAAGATGTGACGTCATTTCATTAACTAACCCCTACGTCACGATAGGCAGGGGGTAATACATTACATGGGTCCGACTACTGAATGAAACAACATGACGAAAGAAATTATGACCTGAATGAAACCTTATACCACCAATACAGTGATGTCAATCGCTATCTACTCCGTAGTACTGTTATCATCATTGTACTTTCATGATATATTATAAATTGTTAATCGACATATCAGAACGATGCTTAGTTGTCGTATTGAAATCAGTAGATTTTCCACTTTATATAATTATGTGAATGAAGCGTACGTATGTCAAAAAAATAAAATTTGTAACAGTCTTAAGTTTACTTCTAGTGAGAACACGATGGTCATACGTAAATATATATTTTGTAACAGTTTTAAGTTTACTTCTAGTGAGAACACGATGGTCATACGTCAATGTATATTTTGTAACAGTCAAAGACATTGAAAAGAAACAAGAAAATGAACATGTAAACATCCTTGAAAAGCTGAGTGGCTGACACTTCTCTCATAAAAAAAGATTTATAATTTCCGACTTGACTGGGTAAAATGCAAAATATTTCTTCGAGCTTTCATTTAGAATCAAAAACTCATGTTTGTCTTTATAATTACAGTAAACATGTTAAACATTTATATTAATGGTTTAAAAACCCATATAATTGATGATTTAAAAACAACGAAACAAAATAAAACAGGAAATGACAAGTTAGGCAGATTTCCTGTTATATCGGGAAACTTTGGTGCTTTCCGCTATCTGAATTTGATTTAAATTCATTTGTGTCAGATTTTGAATGTATAAAATAACATGTAAAAGACAAATGACAGTCAATAATCTTGATTGGAATTGAGTGATTTCTTTTTTGATTTTGAAGTTTTTATAGTGATTATTTTGGTCGATATAAATCTGTGTATATATTAGATACTAAAACATATAGACAGATAGCAATGTTTTGATAAATCAATACATAACACGTGATAGATAATTTACATTGAGTTTGAATCTATTTTGAAAATTTGCAGGTAGGTCATTTTTCCTCTGTACTGTCCAATATAATTCACTGTGTTAGAAGTCAAACGTGTTAAACTTGATCTCTGTAACAAGGTCACAGGATTGAGGTAAACCAGGTCACTAAAATGTGTAGTACATGTCAATTGATCTTGTTTTCAATATGAACAGAGCTTTAATTTTAAGTTAAATATATGAGAACAGCATGATAATAACTTTAACGGAAATGACCCTAGAGCTGATTATTGAACTTTAACGGAAATGACCCTAGAGCTGATTATTGAACTTTAACGGAAATGACCCTAGAGCTGATTATTGAACTTTAACGGAAATGACCCTAGAGCTGATTATTGAATTTTAACGGAAATGACCCTAGAGCTGATTATTGAACTTTAACGGAAATGACCCTAGAGTTGATTATTCAACAATTAAATATTCCAAAACCAATAAAAATATCAACAATCAAACTTTTAGGATCATTTCAGAGTAGTTTAGTTCATTAAACGTTCTCAACATGAAGTTAATTGCTATAAAAGAGGATTAAAGTCTTCAATCTTAAACAGAAACAAAAACACTATATTTTTGCACATTTTTTAATCCAGGCTTGTAAATCAAATCGCCATTATTTCAAAATCTTTTCTTAAACATAACAAAATATATTCAATCCGGAGATCAAAATTCTGACGAAAGTTTTGACTAGATGTTATAACCAAGCTTTGAAATCAGGTCTATAGAGTTCCAGAGTTTCGGGTATCTAAGCTTCTTCTTCTCCCTCTTCCTCCTCGAACTCTCCCTCCTCCTCGGCGGTGGCATCCTGGTACTGTTGGTACTCGGACACCAAGTCGTTCATGTTGGATTCGGCCTCTGTGAACTCCATCTCGTCCATACCCTCACCAGTGTACCAATGCAAGAAAGCCTTACGACGGAACATAGCGGTGAACTGTTCGGAGATACGCTTGAAGAGCTCCTGGATGGCGGTGCTGTTACCAACAAAGGTAGCAGACATCTTAAGACCACGTGGTGGGATGTCACAGACAGCGGTCTTCACGTTGTTGGGGATCCATTCAACGAAGTAGCTGCTGTTCTTGTTCTGGACGTTCAAGAGCTGCTCATCAACTTCCTTCATGGACATACGTCCACGGAACATGGTAGCGACGGTCAGGTAACGTCCATGGCGAGGATCACAGGCAGCCATCATGTTCTTGGCGTCGAACATCTGTTGGGTCAGCTCTGGGACGGTAAGAGCCCTGTACTGCTGGCTACCACGAGATGTAAGAGGAGCGAAACCAGGCATGAAGAAGTGGAGACGGGGGAAGGGAACCATGTTGACAGCCAATTTACGGAGATCGGCGTTCAGTTGACCAGGGAATCGGAGACAGGTGGTGACTCCGGACATGGTGGCGGAGACGAGATGGTTCAAGTCACCGTATGTGGGTGTGGTCAGCTTGAGAGTACGGAAGCAGATGTCGTAAAGAGCCTCGTTGTCGATACAGTAGGTTTCATCTGTGTTCTCAACAAGTTGGTGGACGGAGAGGGTAGCGTTGTATGGTTCGACAACGGTGTCTGATACCTGAAAAATATCAAGATATTAAATAGTATTTTCAAGTGAACATATTTGACTGGAAACATTCTCAATATGTTTTTCGAAAAGGTAAAGGAGTAATATTAGAATATAAATCAGTTTCAAAATAATAAAATATCAACAATGGTTAAACAAAAATTGGCCATGTCGTTCATAATTATATTTACCTTGGGTGATGGTACAACAGAGAAGGTGTTCATGATCCTGTCGGGGTATTCTTCACGGATTTTGGAGATGAGGAGTGTTCCCATTCCAGAGCCGGTACCGCCACCAAGAGAATGTGTAAGCTGGAATCCCTGAAGACAATCACAGCTCTCTGATTCTTTACGAACAACATCAAGAACAGAGTCTACGAGCTCAGCACCTTCTGTGTAATGTCCCTTAGCCCAATTGTTTCCAGCACCACTCTGTCCGAACACAAAGTTGTCTGGTCTGAAGATTTGTCCGAAAGGACCAGATCTGACGGAGTCCATGGTTCCGGGCTCCAGATCAACCAAGACAGCTCGGGGAACATATTTGCCTCCTGTAAAAGCAACAAACATCAACATGTGGATTTTCGGCGGATGACATGACTGATATCATTTACATATATTTTAGAGTTTTGTCAAGTATTCATGTCAGGAGTTTGTCTACTTTAACAATAGTTAAATCCAAACTGTGTGTCCCAATCCACTTACTAATGATAACTCTTAGTAGATATCTTAATCAAAGTGCGTTATCTGATTTTGAAATATTATTACTTTTTTGTATTTGTTTTACTTATCTGTCAATTTGAAGGTTAATGCCTTTTTGTTAACCGTTTCCTATTTTTCAGCAGACAATCCATAGATATACACACACTGGTGACTGCCTTATTTGTAACAGTAATGATTTTGTCGAAATTCTACGGTAAATTCTATCACAAACATACAGGCTTATCGTCAGAAAACTACAGTCAATGTTTAATTCCTGACTTTTCTTTTGATCTTTTTATCGCACTTCTTAATCTTAAATGTGTTACCTGTGGCTTCATTGTAGTACACGTTGATCCTCTCCAACTGAAGGTCAGAATCTCCGTGGTATGTACCGGTGGGGTCAATTCCGTGTTCATCAGAAATAACCTCCCAGAACTAAAAATCAACACATGTGATATTGAAATTTGTTGTTGTGTAATTGATAGAAATAAACATATTTCTATTTCTCTTTCTTCACATTTAAACAATGAAGATCAAACACAGCTTTGATATCGTCATTTCTTTTCACTGATATTATTGAAATAATGAAATAACCTTTGAAGATTCTACTAGTTACTGGTAATTAGTTTCAAATCTTTTGAAAACTTACAAGTCCTTGTAAACTATACAACATGACATGTATACATTGACTATACTGATCGTTACAAAGAATAAACTTTGTGTTAATTGAGGAAAGATATACTGGTAAATACGTACTTTGGCTCCGATCTGGTTGCCGCACTGGCCAGCCTGCATATGTACGATTTCCCTCATTTTGTTAGTTGGCGCTGTCTGTCGTTCTAAACCGTGTGAATGTGTCGTGTATTTACTCCGTACTGTTGTGTTGTGCGGGGCACCTCGGACTTTTATACGAAAGCGTTGGTACTAAGTCGTCAGATCACGCTTCGCTTACCGCTCTCGGTGGTTCAACAGAATTAGCTAATACTTAAGATAAACCCTGCTCTGATTTCTAAAGATTTTTCATTACTTAGTGTTAATCCAGAACTGCTTACTGGTCAATGCCTATGTCCAGATTTGGATCAACTATATCCCTCTCTGGTAGTCAACACAGTGTATATATGGAAACGAAACAAAGGGGCCGTTTGGACGGATTGCATAATGCCAAGTGG